TAATGCTTTAAAATCCATTACTGAATTTTAAAGTCATGACAATATTATTTGCAAATTTTACTCCAGTTTGAATAGCATCAAACATGGAGTTAGATTTAAGCATATCAGAAATCATGTCAATTAATGAATTCTGTAAAAATTCCATTTTGGGGGCAGTAATGCTCCCTAAGTCAAAATTGTCAAAATTTCCGTTAGAACGTTGGTTAGTATTTTGATTTCTACCCGCTGCAATAGCAGCATAGGTAGCTCCATTAACTCGCTGAACATTGTTAGCAGCGAGGGGAGTAGGTACAGATGAAACATTTGAAGCAGGGGTGATATTTGTACCTACGGGTACGAATGTAGAATTTGTTCCTCGCTGACCGTTGTTAACAGCAGAGGAATTTGTACCTGGTCGGAAACGTGGAGCGTTTCTTACCTGTCGGTTAGAACGAGATTGTAGGATCGCTTTGCGAGTCTTACATTCCCAAAAATTGGATTTGTGGTTTTCACCACAATTTGAACATTTAAATTTCTTAGGATCTTCCTTCACAGGACAGTCGTCCTTTGCGTGAGAGGAATCACCACAATTCATGCATTTAGCTGGCATGTAGCAATTTTTAGTTCCGTGACCCCATCCCTGGCACTTACGGCACTGGGTGAGGTTTTGGAAATTTCCTCCAGTCTTCCTGAAGTGTTCCCACTTCACTCGGACATGGAGCATAAGGCTAGCTTTTTCTAAGGCCTTAAGGTTGTTTAGTTCACTAGACTTGAAGTGAACTAAATAAAAATCATTACAAATCCCGTTGCGCGAATCGCCAGGACGGGATTTCATTTTCATTTTGATTACTTGGAGTGGCACAACTCCAAGTAATTTTGCCAGTTCATCTTTGATCTGATCCAGGGATTCACCACTGGGCAGTCCTTTCATGACAACCTTGAACACACGTTCAGTTTTGGTGTCGTAAGTAAAAAATTTGTGCTTCTTCTCAGTAAGATACTTGAGAAGACATTTAAATCCGTCCAAGGTTTCAGCCAATACACGGCATTCACCCCGACGTCCAATTTGTAGTGAAAACTTAACTTTCACGAAATTCAAAAGTTCCATGCGAAGAGCATGGAAATCGGTAGTGGTTATCACAATAGGGGGAATCTTTTCCTTCTTGGCATTAAGCCGGGAAAGTTTACTAGAATTTTTCTTGGATGATGGATCATTCTCATCATCCGTGAGCAAATCAAATTGATTACTCAAATTAATTTCATCAGAAGGGGGGTCAAGAGTTTGCCCCTTTCTTTTGCGTTTAGGCGCCATGGCGGCAGTAAATTTTTATCCAGATCGACTTCCAAGCAGATTACTATAAGAATCTGAAGGATCGAAGAGGAATTTTCCAAATCGATATCCAAGAAGGATTACCTCGGGTAGGGTCCAAACAAGGATCGAAGAGGAATAAGAGTTGAACAAGGTAGAAATTTTTTACAGGTTGAGCACTGAAAAGTGCTGTTTAAATTTGTTGTAGCTTTAGGTAGTAGTAACACTTCCTTCAGCAAAAAGCAAATAGATCCGCACGGCAAGAGAGCACGATGCGGACTGATTTCTTCTTCTTCTTATTAGCATTTCAAGCTGATGGATTAGTGCATATTAACTTATTGCGTGCTTTCAACTTAGTGTTCTAAATGCACTCCCAAAGTTATTAATTGAGAGCTTTCGATGCCAATACCAATGCATGAATTTGTATAGTGTGTGGCAAGGCAAGCACAATGATACCCAGGGAAGTCGAGAAAATTTCCAGCCCGAAAGATTCCCTCGACCGGACCGGGAATCAAACCCGCCGCCTCCGGCTTAGTAATACCGTGCCTTTACTGACAAGCGAGACTAGGCTATGAGGCTCAAAACAGTTTGTAGTACTTAAAACATCTGGTATACATGACAACAATTCATGCATGATCCACATAGACACTGTGCATCTGTCTGGAAATATTTCGATACTAAAGACATTGTCCCAATCTCGGTTGATGTAGTAGATCAAATAAACTGAACTCCAGGACGATTTGAAGAATTTTGAACATCTGGATTACTCGGAAATAGATCATACATGATCCACATAGACACTGTTCATTGTCTGGAAATATTTCGATACTAAAGACATTATTGCAGTCTTGGTTGATCTATTAGAACAAATCAACTGATGTCCTGAACGATTTGGAAAACCTATAATTTCCGGTATACATAGTAATAAGTCGCGCATGATCCACAAAGTCACATATACACGATTCGGTTATGATTTGACTACGAAAAGTGGTAGGTTCATATTAGAAAAAAAATATCATGACAATGTCTCACCATTGGACAGACCCCAAGGAATATCCGTGTAAATACAGAACCGAGACGGGACCAACAATTGTGATTTTGAAACTGGTAATTTCTCGATTAGGTGCGGGGTGTTTGGTTTGAATCGGTCAAAAATTGAGAAAACTAGAGTCAAATTAACTACAACATTTAGGACACAAAAATACGTCTCTGGTTAATTAAAAAAAAAAAATTGCATTTCAAATGAAAATGCATTAAATTTTCTTAAATAATGTTTAATCAAATCTAGGCCATTATTATTCAATAGAATCGCATAATTTAAGGGTGTTTTATTATGTTCACTAATTACTCAGAATTTATACTATACATAAATAATTGAAGATGATACAATGTTTTTTTTTAATTCAAAGGTTACAAACGATACTACTTTAGCTCAGTCGGTAAAGGCGCAGCTACAAACTAGGTCCATGCTGGAGGCGACTGAGTTCTATTCCCGTCCGGTCTATTAATTTTTCAAGTTGGAAAAATTCTCTACTTCCTTGGTCATAGGATGGTACAGGCATAAAAAGCTCTCAATTAAAATGTGAAAGTACTTCAAAAACCACTAAGGCAAAAATCTAATATGCTATAAGCAATAAGCTTGAAATGCCATGTAGTAGTATACAAATGCTATTTTTAGGTAATGAAAACAGTTTTTTTTTTGTGGCGGATTAGTATTTGAAGTCGCGGATTTCTTTTGAGAAATCGCGGATTTCGCGGATCAAATTTAGAAATTCTTGTCACAGCTCTGTTGTTGAAATACAACATTTGGCTTCTGACCGTACTGTCATAGAGGTAACTCTAAGACCACTGGGTCCCGAAGAAAATCATTATTATTTTTGGCTCACTCAGTACCAGAACAACGGTCCCAAGCAGTCCCAAGCTATTTCACTCACCCCTGCATGTTCTGCATGAATCCTCACACCCCTTGTTCCCGTAAGCGACAACAAGAGGTGGTAAACAAATTTCCGTAAACTTAACGAACTTTATTAACAGTTGTTAAATTTTCCCTGTAGGTTAAATTTTCATCAGTTTTAAGCATACACGGACAGAAAATTGTTTGCATTGAACCAAAAAAAAACTTTAGCTGTATTTAAACAAACAATTCCGGTTGAAATTATATTGCATTTTATTGTTTCGATAATACTTATTCAAATAAATTCAAAATAAGATTCCTTTTGTTTTAATAAGCCACTAATCAACTGCAACTATTGTAAAAATAACAATATTCTTTTATTAAGCCAACAATAGTTAATTTGAAATTAGCATTTATTTGTTGTGTCTGTTCCCCGGGCCATGAATGCAAAAATAACTACCAACCATTCCCTCGTTCCCGGAAAGAAATGTAAACAATAACACAAAACTGTTCTCGTTTGATTCAGCTCTTTTCCGCGTTCGACGTGATATTGTTTTTAATAGTGAATTTCGGGAAAAAAGTGCAAGATTTCCGAAAATCTTGAGACTTGAGGTAAGTAAGTATGCTGCAGTTGCTAAATATAAACAGTTTTCTTTTTTTTTCCTTGATTTTTTATCGTCGATCTTGTTTTCAGTACTGAGTACCAATGCTCCCAACGCCAGGAAGGCCGCTCCCAAACCTGGACCCTACCTATCGACCCATCAACTCATGAACCGGAGAGATTTATGCCTCAGAAAGGTTTTTTTTTTAATTCAATTGTAATTCATAAAAATAATCGCAAATTATTAAATATTGAATCTGTTTATTTCTACTGCGTATATTTTCAGGCTTAATGAAATAAATATGATTGAATCAACAAGAAATCTCTTTTAAAAACAAAAATATTTTGTTGTTGACCCAGCTGCCAAATTTGACAGCTTACGTCAAAACCATGGAAGCTCTTGTAAATTCAAAAAGATTTTCTTTTTGATTTAACAATCCATGGGTTTTTAGAAACAAAGACACTGGATTGTAGAAATAATAATGATTTCTTTTTGCAGCCAAAACAAAATGAAATTCTTATTAATTTTACGTCAAATATTATAACGTTTAAAATATTTTTTTCTGCGTGTAACTACTACTACTGTTAGATGTGTTCTGTGACTTACGTTTAGTGTTTTCCTTTTAATTCCGCAACGTCCGGAAAGCTGTCTTGTACGGTAGTAGTTGTTTGGGGATCCTTGAACTAACGATTCTGCCCTGACCTTTGACCTCCAACTAATGGTTTTAAGTAATACGGTAGAATCTGTGCCATAGTGTAAGTTTCAGGTTAAATTTTGAACGAACTAATAAACAGCAATAAATATCTTTTTAAATTCATTTACCTTGATAAATCACTAAATCACTTATGCTAACCAGCTAACTAACTAATTAAATTCACAATTTAAGCTCCGACTAGCTTTTAGATTAGTTTTTAACTGCATAAGTATAAAGAAGTGTAAGCACGCGTAACTATGTTTACTTATGCTGGTGTTGTTATTCTTCGCTTTTTGACGGCTCTCCATTCCACCGAGTCGTACCAGTGGCGGTGTGTTCCGATGGGGTTCTGCTGACAGCGGAGGCGCGTTCGCATATTGCGTAACACTCCCCCCCAGTACGCAGGGTCCTGGTTCCTGCTTACTCGAATTTGCGCCGACGTCCAGAACTGCAAGTTTTACCACATGTCGTTCGTATACGTTGAGTGTAGTCTTCACCGTTGCGCTTCGTACTTGTCCGTCCTTACATTTGACGTCTACAACGCGTCCTTTTTCGTGGTAAATCCGGATCCACGATTATCACAACGTCGTCGATGTGGATTGGTTTCACCGGATAATGCCATTTTGTCCGACGGCATATTGACGGCAGGTACTCCCGTAACCATCTTTTCCAAAAGTGGTTGGCGTAGATTTGAGAAGTTTTCCAAGTGTTGGTTAGCGTAGCGATGCTGTCGTTGTATGGCACGAGAGGTTTCGAACCATTGGACGAACCCAACAAGAAATGATTGGGAGTTAGAGCTTCGTTTTCACCGTCTTCGATAGGCACGTATGTGAGGGGGCGCGAATTAATAATATTTTCCACCTCCAGCAAGCTGTTCCGAAGGACTTCGTCGGTGGGAGATCTTGGAAGCTGCATGTTATTCAAAACCTTTTTCACTGACTGCACCAGTCTCTCCCAGCTTCCACCCATGTGCGGACTGCTCGGAGGCAAGAAGGTCCACTTGGTATCTGGTGTCACGAATTCCTGCATAAGCTTATTTTGATCGAGAGACCGGAACGCTTCGGTAAGTTCCCGCTTGGCACTGACGAAATTCGTTCCCCTGTCGCTGAAGAATTCCAAAGGAGAGCCTCGTCTGGCCACGAAGTTCCGTATTGCCATGATGCAGGAGCTAGTGTTGAGAGAATGTGCAATTTCAATGTGGATGGCACGTACCACTAGGCATGTAATCAGCACGCCCCACCTCTTTTCAGTTCGTCTACCAACGACGACTTGCATTGGTCCGAAGTAGTCGATCCCGACATAGGAGAACGGTCGGGAATAAGCTGCTAGACGAGCCGATGGAAGATCAGCCATGATCGGCGGCTGCGGTTGAGCTCGGGCGTTCTTGCAGAACTGACACTGTCGACGGACTTTGTTGCACACACTTCGTAGCTGCGGGATCCGATACTTTTGTCGTAGTTCGTTGACGATGCTTTCATGGTTGAGATGGTGATAGTGTTGGTGGACAAATTGTACGACGAGTGTCGTAACCGGATGCTTCTTTGGCAGCACGATAGGATGGGCAGCATCTGAATCGATGAATTGACAGGCAGCAGTTCTTCCTTGCATACGAAGTACTCCGTAGTCATCAAGGAACGGCGAAAGTTTGTAGAGTGAACTACTTTTAAGAATAGGAATCACCTTCTTCTCGCTTGCCTCCTTGTGACAGATCAGCGACGATACTTCCTCACCGAACGTTTCTAGCTGGGCTTGTCGGTAAATGCAACATTCCGCTTCAAATAGCTCCGATTGATTGAGGATTCCGGTAGATGGTGGTTGACGCTGTAGTCTAGCTCGAAGGTTTTTCATGAATCTGAGAACGTACGCGGAGACCCGTAGAAGTTTACGCCAGTTGGAGTATTTTGCGAAGTTAAGAACGGGTTCGCCGGCTACGTGGACGTTGACCGAAACTTTCATTTCGGAGGTGGTTTCTCCATGGTTTGCCGGCTGAACAGGCCAAGCGCTCCGCTGTTCCCACAGAAATGCTGGTCCCTTGAACCAGTGGCTTGATGGTGATAGGTCGGGAGTCCGCTGCCACTTAGTGCCATCATCGGCCACGTTCTGCTTTGTTGGTACCCAGAGCCACTCTGCCTGTTCAGTGCTTTCCAAAATTTCGCCAACTCTAGCACCGACGAATTTGCTGTACCTCCTGTGATCGGATCGTAACCAGCAGAGCACGTCCCTTGAGTCGGTCCAGAAGAACCGTTTTCGGATTCCAATGCGATGGGTTTCTCCTATAGACTTCGCCAGCCGGGTTCCGATCACCGCTGCTTGTAGCTCTAGTCGAGGTATCGAGACGTATTTTAAAGGAGCGACCCGAGTTTTCGCTTCAACGAAGGCGCACTCAACTGTGCTGTCCACTTCGAAACGGAAGAAAGCAACCGCAGCGTAGCCATTCTCGCTCGCGTCTACGAAGACGTGTAGTTGAATTTCGTTGAACTCACTGGACGAAGTTGTCATCGTGCGATAGCACCGAGGAACGGAAACTGTATTCACCTTGTTCAATACACTGAGCCATGTTCTCCACTTTTCCAGCTGCTGGTCGGGTATCGGCTCGTCCCAACCAATATTAGAGCGCCAGATCTCTTGCAGCAAAACCTTCAGGTACATCAATACGTTGGCAAGAAGTCCTAGCGGGTCGTAGACTGACATGAGAATCCGCAGAACTTCCCGCTTCGTGGGAACTTGCTCTCCGGATAACAGCTCCTGTTTGCATCGGTTCGGGATTTTGAACGTTAACGTGTCGTTGATCGTATTCCACCACATCCCTAGAACTTTCTCGGTCACCAGCTCTCCGGTCTTGTTTAGATCCTTTTCAGGAGCTCTCTGCTCGCCCATGGAATCTACTACTTTCTTGGAGTTTGACAGCCATCCTCGGATTTCGAACCCACCTTCTGCATGTATGTATCGCACATTTTGCGCGAGCTTTACCGCCTCTGCTTCAGATTCGACACTGCTGAGCATATCGTCCACATACGTTCCTTTGCATATTGCCTCCACCGCTTCCGGAAATAGAGTCCTGAATCGTTCTGCATTTCGCTTCATAACGTACTGTGCACTACTAGGTGAACAGCGGGCACCGAATGTCATCACCTCCATCACGTAAGTCGAAGGACCTTCTCCGGGAACGTCATCATCCCACAGGAATCGCTGGCAATGCTGGTCTTTGGGTCTCATCCGCACTTGATGAAACATTTCACGAACATCCCCTGACACAGCCGTACGATATTCACGAAACCGCTGAAGGACATGTGGAAGGGGCGTGACTTGGTCAGGACCTTTTAGCAGAAATGAATTCAACGAGAGGTTACCCACTTTGGCGGCGGCATCCCAGACAATACGCAGCTTGCCGGGTTTGTTGGGGTTAACCACTGGAAAGATCGGCAGATACCACGAGCGTCCAGTGTACGTTGCTTCTTCCTGCGCCGAAAGCTTGCGGATATATCCTTTCGTTCGGTAATCCAGTATTTTTTCCTGAAGAGCTTTACCTAGCGCAGGTTCTCGAACCATGCGTTTACTCAAACAGTCATGTCGCTTCAGGGCCATGCCTTTGCTCTCCGGTAGCCGGACTTCTTCATAACGCCACAGTAGGCCAGTCTCGTATCTCTTATTCTGGAGAATCGTGTTTGTCTGCAGCAACATCATCGCTCGTTCGTCGTCCTTCGACATCAGCGGTTTCCCAGCAAGTTGAACCCCGATGCTGTCCAGAGAGAAGTAATTTTTGACTGCAGAATAAAGCCCATCACACTGACAGATATGGTAACTGTAGGTCACGTCTTTTTTCGCCATCGTTTGCTCTGACACCGAGCACGGACCGTATACCAACCACCCTAGCCGTGTTAGTACCGCGGTCGGCTGATTCTCACTCCCTTCTCTGGAATTGAACGGATACTCCAACCTAGCGTTGTCTACACCCAACAAAATGCGTGGTTTGACTGCGACGTACGATTCGATTGGCAGGCCCGACAGATGCCGGAAATGTTTCGCTAGATCCTTCACCGACATTGACTGTGGAGGAAGGTCTAGGTTTCGCACCGTGTGCACTTCCGAAAGCTGGAAACTTTGGCCGGGAGTCTGAGCACCTGCGATCTCGGCGGAGAATTTCACCGAGTCTTCTTCGTATCTTCTTTGTCCGCCAGTCCATGACATGCACAATGGAGATTTCTCACCGTTCAGATTCAATTCCTCCCACAAGCTGTGCTCCATTAACGTCGAGGTCGATCCTGCGTCGAGGAATGCGTACGTCGTGATCGATTTACCCTTGCCATGCACCGTGACACGAATGTACTTCAACAGAACTCCTCCCAGCGAACTAAGATGCGTGTTACAAGATGCGATCTGTGCTGGAATGATTGACGTCTGTTTCTTGTGTTTACTGTCATCATGCAATAGCTGGTGATGTAGGAAGCTGCACCCGTTCCGATTGCATGGAACCTTCCTCTCACAAGTTTTAAAGTGCTTAGTTAGACATTTCCGACAGATCTTCTTCTCATTTACCAACGCCCATCGTGCATTCGGTGTCATCTTGAGAAAACTACTGCATTGTCGAGGGAACTGCACTCATTTCTGCACGCTAGGCAAGCTTTGCGGTCCACCTGCTCCGGTGAGTGCGTAGAATGAACATGTATATACGCTTCTTCTTTCCGACCTTTCTTCTCCGGCTTGTTCTCCAACTTCTGTGATTTAGTCCACACAGCCGGTCTGATCACCTGACTGAACGCCTCCACCATGTCTCCGAGCCAATCGTTGAAATCTACCAGTGTGGCAGCGCCCTTCTCCTTACGGTGAAATGCCCATTTCATTTTCAACGCTGACGGTAAATTATCTACAAGCTCCTGCAGCAAAGCGACATTGTACAACCGTTCGTCCATTTCGCACACTTGTATAGTTGCACACAAATTCTGAACTGCCACGCCGAAGTCAACAATAGTTTCCAGTTTATCAGCCTTCGGAGGCGGCATCGTCCGAATTCTTCGAACCATTGTCTCAATGATAGACTCCGGGTTGCCGAACAGTATTTTCAGCCGATTGATTATGACTGGAACGTTATCGGGATGTAGGAGGAGGCTTTTAACAGCATTGAGTGCCTTATCGTGCAGGCTCCTTTCGAGACGATCGAGTAACTCATCGTTCCTAAAGGCACACATCCTGACAGTTCGCTCGTACGCCGCGATGAAACGTGGCCAATCTTCTGGATCTCCACCGAACTTCGGCAGATCTTTTACCGTCTGTCTTGCTGCTAAATGGTCTCTGTTTAGCAGTACAGGATCACTACATGGTTGTTGCTGATACTGTTGCCGCGGGGTTGACGTTACCATCGGTGGTTGTCCAATGTTTTGAGACATGCCCGCTATATTCTGGAAGTTCTGAGCGCCTAGGTACGGATAGCTCATTGCCGGATTAGCTGTCGTCATTACCGGCTGCTGTGACGGTATAGTGTAGACTGGGGTCGACGGTTGACTGGATACTGGTGCTGAATATCCGCCAAATGTTGGATGATGACTCGCTGTTGCTCTTGAAAGTTTTCGCCAGGTCGAGGCTGCTCGATGTACCTGCCACCATGACCGTAACTTCCACCAAAATGCTCCAAGACGCGTGGCTGAAACGAAGTAGGATTCCCCACAGGTTGCTGAAGACTAGATGGTGGAACTGGGCCGCAGCTGCTAGTGAGGCACGGTTGGGTTGAAGAGACCACCGGTTTTCGCAGAGATTCGTCATACACCGGCAGAGGTGTTCCATTTATAGAATTTCCTACACCCTTCCCTACGTTGTCCGTTTTCTCCAGCCACTCGTTGATCTTGTCAAAACTCGTAATCGACTCTACCTCGGAATCAGTGACCTCCAACATCTCATACTCAAACGCCAGTCGCTCTTCTAGCTGCCTTATTTCCAACGCTTGTCTCGCTTCCAGGGCCTTCACTTGCAGTTCCCGTAATTTCGCTGAGCGTCTTGATAACTTCGAAGATGCCTTGTCACTACTGTCGGATGTTCTCTCATTATTGCCGGTCGAGCTTGCCAGCGGTTCTGTGTTGCACTGTTCATCCGCTATGAACCCTTTTGGAACAACCTTCTCCACAAATTTGACCTGATGCTGTAACTGCTTCGGAATCGCACCAAGCAATATCGAAGGTACTTCAAACCTCGTTGCAGCATCTCCCGACAGCGAACTCTGCTGCTGCAACTGCAACATCCCCTTCTGCAACTGATCGAACTGCTCCTGCATTCGCAGCTGCCACTCTTCTGGTTTCTGCTGCTGCTCAATATGCTTTTGTTGTTCGTCAGTCTGCTGTAGGCGTTTTTGTTGCTCTTGTTGCCACTGCTTCTGTTGCTGTTCAAAGCGCTCCAACTTCTCACTCAAAGCATGCCTCTGCTTATCCAATGATCTCCGTACGCATGCGTTACAGCTCCAATCATCATCCTGGATACTGTCGTCCACGTTCACGCAATCATAATGATACCAGACGTCGCACTCATCGCATTGCACCATCCGACTGGTATCGACTTCATGACACTTACCACAGCTCGCCCCCTCACCACCAGGAGCATTACTTTTTCTCTTGGGAGACTTCCCAGCACTCGCTACGCTACCGTTAGACATTCCGGAAATTAAACGGAAAATTTAATTTGTTCCCGTAAGCGACAACAAGAGGTGGTAAACAAATTTCCGTAAACTTAACGAACTTTATTAACAGTTGTTAAATTTTCCCTGTAGGTTAAATTTTCATCAGTTTTAAGCATAACTACTACTACTGTTAGATGTGTTCTGTGACTTACGTTTAGTGTTTTCCTTTTAATTCCGCAACGTCCGGAAAGCTGTCTTGTACGGTAGTAGTTGTTTGGGGATCCTTGAACTAACGATTCTGCCCTGACCTTTGACCTCCAACTAATGGTTTTAAGTAATACGGCAGAATCTGTGCCATAGTGTAAGTTTCAGGTTAAATTTTGAACGAACTAATAAACAGCAATAAATATCTTTTTAAATTCATTTACCTTGATAAATCACTAAATCACTTATGCTAACCAGCTAACTAACTAATTAAATTCACAATTTAAGCTCCGACTAGCTTTTAGATTAGTTTTTAACTGCATAAGTATAAAGAAGTGTAAGCACGCGTAACTATGTTTACTTATGCTGGTGTTGTATATTCTTCGCTTTTTGACGGCTCTCCATTCCACCGAGTCGTACCAGTGGCGGTGTGTTCCGATGGGGTTCTGCTGACAGCGGAGGCGCGTTCGCACCCCTGATGTTATCTGTCAAACTTTCATAGCGAATCAAAACAAACATAGTGTAGTAATAGAATTTCAACTAGAATAGGGTACGTTAATCGTTTGCTTGGGACCAATAGGCTACTAAAGTGGTGAGCCAATTTAAAATCGTTAGTTTCGTATTGATTGTTGGTACTGTTCTTTGATCCACGGAAGAACATACTTAAAATCCCGATGTAGACCTCCGTGTTGACCTTGTCGCCTTCTGGAATGAACACCGCGTCCATTTTTTTTTGCCATCGGAAGCCACCAATCCAAACACCATAACGCTAGCAGGATGCTTGGTCAGATACTCGGCCAGATACACGTTCTTGTGCTCGTCGGCCACGTCTTTTACAGGAAGAGAACTAATATACCGGTCGGTTCTGGAATTTGATACGGGATCGACGGTAAACATGCTCTCATCGGTGAGCAGGATCACCGGATGTTTTTTTTTCTCGATTTGTTTTCCGTCGATCTTGTTTTCCGTGCTGAGCACCAATGCTACCGACGCCAGGAAGGCAGCTCCCACACCTGGACCCTACCTATCGACCCATCAACTCATGAACCGGGGACCAACGGCTTTACTTCCCTTCCGAAGGAAGGCGTGATCAGAGATGTTATGCCTCAGAACATCCCGGCGGCGCCGACTGGGATTGAACCCAGGCCTGCTGGGGTGAGAAGTAATCACGCTTTCACTACACCACCGGCGCCGCTACTCCGGATGTTTTCGCTTAAGATTTTCTTACATCGTTCGACTCGTAACTCTCGGATGCGGTTGGTAATCATGTGAGTTTTTTCTCCGTGCCCTCGACTTCGCCCCGCAATCTTCCTTTACACGGATACGAATTTTGTTAATTTAAAACAAAAATATAAATGTTTATACTCTAAACATATGAATTATTCAAAGTAAATTGAAAGCATGTTTAAAACTAAAATGTTTATGTTTGAGTTAAATTCAAAAGCATATTTATTTCAACAATATAGGATTTGGGTGTACGGTTTTTAGCGTGTCATGCCTTTTTATTTCCTTCTTGTTACATTCGGAAAAAGTTGCCCCGCTGCTTTGCTCAACCTCAACAGAAAACGACCGGATCCTCCTCCGATACCGAACATGGAAAGAAACCGGTATGAGGACCAGTGGCAGAAACCGAGGTAGAAACGGCAAAACGACGCTAATAACACAAATTTGCACCGGTTCCACTGAACTGGAACCCCCGGACACCCACCCCGACGGGTCTTCGCATCCCGGACCAGGACCAGGTCACCCTTAATCACACCCGAAAAAGAGCAGGAATTAAGATGTCCTGCCCGAAGATCTTTTTTTTGATTTCTTTGCAAACCGTTTTATTTTGCTTTACCCTGCACTCAACTACTAAAATAATTCCAAAATATGTATGTTTATTTTAAACATGAAAAGCATGTTTAAAATAAAAATATTTATTATTGTTCGCATAGCTGTCAAACCAAACAAAAATAAATACGTTTATTTTCAACACGAATATTTTTGAAATAAACGTAACATTATTTTTATTTTAAACATTGATTTCACATGACTTCAAACATGGAATATGTTTGAAATCAACCTAATTTATGTTTGTGGCCAGAACAAACTGAGTTTACGTTTAAATTTACCTCAAATATTTTTGTTACGACGATAGTTTTTTTCTGCGTGTACGATCTTCCTTACCGTAAAGTCACTGATCCCGTGTTCTTTTTCCATTTTCCTTATTGAACGCACTGGATTCACCCGAATCTTCCTTTTGATAGCAGCGATAACCCTCGGAACCCGAACTGACCTCGAACGACCTGTGGCCACCTTTGCGGATAGTTGTCCTTTCTTTTCTATGTCTATAACCCTTTTGACGGTCCACTGGGACACTCCCACGGCGATTGAAATGTCTTTTGCGACATTTGCGCGTGGGACAAATCACGTATACGCTGCCACTTCGTCATGGTGCAACTGTCAAACTAAGTAAATCATTTTCTTTTATACACAGCCTACTACCAACAATCAATACGAAACTAACGATTTTAAATTGGCTCACTACTTGACTAGCCTATTGGTCCCAAGCAAACGATTAACGTACCCTATGCTAATCAAAATTCTACTACTACACAATGTTTGTTTTGATTCTCTATGAGGGTTTGAGATAAAATGAGGGTTTTGCGGATTTTCGTATGTTCCGAGGGGTGAATCGATTAGCTTGGGACCGAAGTGAGTACCAGAGCTGAGCCAAAAAGTTGAGCACGTTATTTCGGGAGCTTCTTGTCTTTGA